AGTCGACTTCTTGTCTTCCTTTTGATTTGGGAGGGGGGGTACTCAAGTTGGCCGACCTTGTTTTGAATGCGGTGCCATTGATTCAACAAGCATTTAAGATGTCCAACCTGTTTCAGAAAGAGAAAAGGCAGAGAAGCACCTTGGTCCGATCCGTTTGGCTGGGACCGGGGCAACCAATTTTGGCAAATTTGGACCTGGGAACTGTCAGAAAACCTTGTAGTGGGTTCCATGGTGGGAAGGGCAATCTCCAAACCCTGTAGTCATTCGCCCATTGAATTTGGCTCTGAAGGTATCCTGGAATGATTCACAAGTCCCGGAATTGGCTCCCATGAAAGCAACACAAAGACTGAAAGAACGTAACCATTAGTCAGGGGGGCTGTTTTTCCCATTCCAATCGGACAAAGACGATCCGAATGGGTGTCGCTTTGCTTGATGGTACCCTCTGGGGTGACACGAGGCGATATTCTGAGTGTTGAGCCGTTGCAATTTTGGCCAGGGCTACGGCTATGAGACGAGAGCTGATTCCGCCGCTGGGTGAGTCAAAGGGCTGCCAGCAAAGGCAGCCCACGGCCACTTTGTCGCTTCTCATCAGGAAAAGCTCCATTTCGCAAACGAGGCTAGTTTGAGCAAGCCTCAAAATGAGACCCAGAAAGCCCGCAAAAGGGACTGTTGGGCTTAGAGCTTTAGATGGCAAGGGGCGAGGGGAGCGGCGTTGGGCATCCAGCGCCCGAGGACATGTGGCTGATCCGCCCCGGGACGGGCAAAACGCCCACCGTGGCCTTTGAGGTTTCGGGCCATGAGGAGCGCGCAGGCGGGTGCGCGTGTTTTATGACGTTTGGCCAGACGGTTGGTGGGTTTAGAGGTGTGGCTTCAGTCAACAGCTCACCCCGTGCGATAGTCAAAACAGCCGAACTCACCAAATTTGGCCGTGACCTTGAACAAGGCTCCATATGTTTTTCGGGTGGTGATAGCATCACCCTTTGAGCCAAATGCAATGTGGGGCTGCAGGAATTTGGATACCTGAAATGGCTGGTTGGTTTCCATCAAGCGCGGCCTCTTTTTTTGGAACACCATACCAAGGTCACACCTGGTACCAGCTGAACTGCTTCCTGACAGCGCCTTCCCGGCATCTGGTGGACTGCCACCAAGCCCAGCTTTCTCTTTGGTGGTTTGCCCGTTGGATTGGCCCTCGTTTGGTTTCTCCAGAAGGGATTCAATCCTAACCATCTAAAGGTTGCCTGACACACCGTGCATCACTCGGCCATCATTTATATTGCAATCCGGCCAGCCTTTTTGCACCCCCCTTCCAAAAGAATGGAGCATCTCTCAACAGAACTTGGGTCGTCCCTCCCGCTCCCCGGGCACTATTGGCCACCCCAGAAGACGAGAGTGTCTTCCACACAAATCCACGGAACGCACCTTGTGTCCGTCCTGGAAACCTTCCATTTTTTGATCCGATGCTCCGACCTCCGCACTTGACGCCCTCTGAGTTGACGGGGGCTCCGTCGTCCCTGTCATGGAAGACCGAGAAGCGGCTCTCGAGCCTTCGGGAAGAGATGCATGTGCCCGGGCCGAGAGAAAGCTTCGGGGGAAGGCTTGCTGGTTCCATAGGGTAACAGGGGTAACTAGCCACTTTTCTCCCTGTTTTTTGTGGTTTAAAGTTGTTGGATGTATATTGTAAGGGTCGTTCAATGACTCTTTGAAGGCAGGCCCCCGGGCCCTATGAGTCCCATGAGTTTTCAACCCAGTTTGAAGGCTCAAAGAACAATCGGGAGCTTTAGAGTCAGTGCTTTCGGTGCCCTTCAAACCAAGGACAAGGAAGAGCCTACTGAGCTGCATGCTCAGTAGAGATTGGTCATTTGGACTGGTTTGGGGCTTGGAACTCCATGTGAAGCTAACCTGCAAAACGGTCGAAGAATTGGACCAGAAGGAGCTTGAGAACCCACCGTTAGATCCTGACGTGAAGGGAATGACCTTTCAACCAGAATGACCTTGGACATGGCTCCTTGGACAAGGCTGCTTAGTTCTTTTCCTCCATCAATCAAGTTTCCTTAGTTCTTTGTTTGCTTTGCGGATACACCGCCTTTTGCTCGAAGTTTGAAGCCTCCTTTGTGACCATATTCGATGAAGCCTGGAGACGGGTGTTGGGAATGACCCTTGCAATGACCTTCGTCCTGTGGTTCGTCTTCCTGTCTTCTGTTTGGGCAGATGCCGTTGATCTGGCCACTGGTTTTTGGAACATGGGTGTCAGCATAAGGGGACCCCAAAAATCGTGGTTTCCTTTTGGCTTCCTTGGAAACCACCCAAAAAAAGGGCAGCCTTGAATACACACACACACACACCCAGGAAGGCGTCCCCTTCTCATCAGAAGCAACGTTGATGTTCACTTTTGGTAGGCGATCAGTTTGAGTTTGAACCCACTGATCCACATCGAATTGCTGACGCCTCTTTGTGAGTGGGGCGTCCCATGTCACAACTCCCATGGGTGGGATTCAATGGAGTCGTTGCAGCACTCCGCGTTTCGGACCAACTGATTCTCTGCCCGACGTCTATTTGGCCTTGACGGGCTTGGGCCTGGGCCGCAGCTCCTTTTCATGGGTTGGAAGGGGCACAAAACAGAGAGCCACCATTTTGGGGGTTCCCTATTTGGACCTGAACCGAAATGGCGGCTGGGGCAATTGACTCCTTTCTCTCGGCCCTTGAGAGCTCGCCGGACGCTCTCGAGCCAAGGATCGCGTCAAGGAGGCGCTGGGCCAAAACTACGCCTCCCACTTTGCCAAGACGCCCTTCGCCATGAAAGGCGCAGCTGGAAACCGAGTCGAGCGGTCGGGCGGTCGGGGTTTCGTCGGGGTTTGATTTTGGCCTTGCTTGCCCTCCGAAGCTTGGAAGCAAGCGGTGGATGTCGCCCAAGACTTGGATGTCAAGCGTGCACATGGTTTGAATGGTTTTGCCCTCACCCCACTTTTGTGAGCAACCCTGTCATTTGAGAGCAATTGGAAGGTTTTGGAAGTGTATCATCTGAATCTAAATGCAGGCAGTTGTTCACTTCCAGCTGTGGAAGCTCTGAGCATGAAGCAAGCTTTGCTCCTTTCTTGCGACCGGGGCCCCTTGTGGGGTATCGAACTTTTAGAAACACGGCAATGTTCTCTCATGCCGGTTCTGGGGTAGCACTTGGGCAACTTGTCATGAATCATTAATCTGCTCCTTCTACTCAAATCAAGCAGGTTTTGGTGGTCAAGCATCACATTGAGTGCTCACATGCCCTGGGCTTCCAGTTGCTACTAGACAATCGGAAAAGACCGACACCCCCAAACAGGTAGGGATGTCCTCCGTCGAGCCCTGAATTACCAGGTTTTCAGCATCACGAAGATTCCTTGGCGTACAAACAAGCAGCTCGACATGGGACCCCCAAATATGCATGGTTTCCTTTCGGTTTCCCTCCCCCGGTCTGTATTTGGTTGTTTTCTTTTTCTTTTGAAAGGGCATGAAATTCAGTGGATTTCCAGGTGGGCTGACGGAATAGTTGGAATACGGTTGAAAAACACCGTGTTAAGGGCATTTTTATTTGGAGAGCCCGCAGCGGGAAACGGTTGTTGATTTCAGAGAAGCTTGGAGGGCCAGCTTTGCAAAGTAAATGTATTAAAAGCACGGTGCTTTGGGTTAGTTAATCATCAGGATGTAAGGGAAGTGGTGAAGCCCGGCCCTTCGGGTTTCCTCATATAATTTTAGGCTTTGGGGTAGACTAAATGGGTGTGCGTATTTTGAGGCTCGGCCCTTTTCACATTCCCAAACATGAATCAGAATCAGAAATTGTTTTTGGTGCCTGGAATTCCAGTGGGGTGCGTCCATGTTTAATTATATGGCCATTTTTTCCCCGGCTTACCAAACTTGAGGAAGCTGGCTGCGTCTTGCTCTTTTTTCTACGAATTGCAGATGGGGAGTCAATGAAACCTCGTTATTTGGACCTCGGGTAGTTTCCCTGTGCGGGTGTCATAAAAAAGGGGAACCTGCAATGCTGGTTTCCTTTTGGTTTCCCTTCAAAACCGACCAACACTAGGGCACCCCCAGAAAAAGCACTCCCCCCCCTTCATCCCAGGATGGAGTAGAAAAAGCCATCGATCGGGGTCCACCCCTCACCGATCCGCGAGGGGGACTTCCGGGAACCACCGCGCGGCTCAACGCCTGGCTTCTTGGCGTTCGAGTTCCGCGTTTTGAATTGGAGCCCTTGGCACCATTCACGTTGGGGCAATGTTTTTTTTTGTTCTCCACCAACTAGCGAGCAACTTAACTTTTGTAGGTCCGCTTGGCCTACCTTCGGGGATCCATGATTTGCAAGAGATCAGCTCACAAACGGCATGGCTATTGGGCAGAGCTCGAGCGTCTTGGAGGCCTGACTTTTGCCCTCCAAGGTTTGCTGTAGGGCAGCGCATACTTTTCCAATCAATCACGTCACCTGGAGCTTGCCACTCCAACCCTCCGACTTTTTGTTCCAAAAACCGTGTTCTCCTTTTCCCAACACGAAAAAATGCCATCGATCGGCGTCTCAGGTTCGGGGCCCTGGGGAGTGTGATGAACAAGGGCGAGGCGCCCCCCTCCCTGGTGGCGGTGATCCTTCAGTTCCTGGAGGCGAGCCGATGCTCGCGACACCCATTTCCGGTAAAGACGCAGCGGCCCAAAACGGGGCCCTCCAAACAGTCAAGGGCCAATGGTTGGGAGGACATGGCCCCGCAAAAAGAGCGAAAATGAGAAGACATTTGAAACTTGGCCTGAAGCAGAAGGTATGGAGTGGTGAAAGGGTTTCCCGTCGCTTGCCCTGACTCCAGATGCCAAGGCTGGCCGGTTTGCGCGGTTTCCAGCCACGTGAAACTGGCCGCTGAGTGCTCTGGTTTGAAAAAAAGGCAGCCGCCTTTTCTTTTGGGGCCAAAACGACGCCTTGCGCTGGGCCAAGCCGCGTGCCCACGACAGAAGACTTCTCGCCTCTCTCGCCTGACTCTTTCGCCATGGGCTGTGGAAGCAGCGCGGGAGCCGCTGAGAAAGCGGTGGCCCCGGCCCCCGGCTATGACCGGGAGGCGTTGGACAAGATTTCCAAGGAGCATCCGAGAACCGGGGGGAAGAGGTCAGTTTTTCAAGCTGGCATTTTGCATCAACATTCAGAGTGAGTTTGCTTTTGTGGTGTTTACGGGAGACATATAGGATGCTGAAGGTTAGGGACTTCCGTCATGCCAGGTGATGTGGCTGTGGCCATGTCCTGAAAATCAATTCGGGAAAGGACTGTCCCCTTGCCACAAGGTGCGGATATCTGATATCCGGCCTCTTGATTCTTCATGTTTGGGGCAGACCATTTGTTTTGATGACAGCCTGATTTCTTTGCGACTCGAAGGAGTTCCCAGTGCGCTTGCCAGCCTTGCCTGGGGATGTGATCGTCAGCGGCAACCTCCCTGTGGAGGCGCGAACATGTCTCAGGAGGAGGAGGCAAACGAATATCCCCAACGGAGTGCTGTTTCCTTGCCACTTCTTTCTAAGTTGAAGCTACCCCAGTGTGACAAGCAGCTCAGTCGGATCCTCAATTGTGCAGCAACTTTGAACCGTTCCAAAAGTTGGAATCGGGCGGATTCCCAAACTGACGCTTTGCTTTTGGTTCCACTTTCCATCTCATCCCCAACCAAAAGGGTGGTTGCTGGTTGCCCATGCCATGACCAGTCTGTTTTGCAGCCCAATGCCCTCGAAAGGGTTTCCAAGTAGACCCCAGTGTCCACACGGGTTTCGCTTTCTCCATTTCCGCCGCGTGAGCCAAACATCAAAACCAGGGCAAGTGAAGCTTAGTCCCCTTGCCTTTTTCTCATGGGTTTTGGGGAGACAAGGTGGTGACGCAGCTGGCGCGGCACTGCAAGGGCTGGCTCTACGTGAACGCAGAGACGGACCCCAACTTCCTGCCGGAGGCTATCAAGGGCCAGGGCTCCGCGGTGCAGGTCTTGCCCTTCAAGCCCAGCAAGGCGAGCGCACCGGGTAGCGATCGGTCGCGATTTGTTGAGGGCGACAAGAAGAGCCAAGGATAACAAGCAGCAGCACCGACAACAGCAACAAGACAACAACCGTCAACGACGACAACGACAACAACCACAACAGCAAAAACTGCAGCAAAAACAGCAGCAAAAACAGCAGCAAAAACAGCAGCAAAAACAGCAGCAAAAACAGCAGCAAAAACAGCAGCAGCAGCAGCAGCAGCAGCAGCAGCAGCAGCAGCAGCAGCAGCAGCAGCAGCAGCAGCAGCAGCAGCAGCAGCAGCAGCAGCAGCAGCAGCAGCAGCAGCAGCAGCAGCAGCAGCAGCAGCAGCAGTTTGTTGGATGGTTGCTATGATTTTGTGTGCTTGTTTGTTGGTTGGTTGCCAGGCTTGCTTGTGTGTATTTGCGTTTTTTGTGTGCTTGCGTTTGCGTGTTTGTGTGTGTGTGTGTGTGTTTGGGATTTTGCTTGCTTGCTTGCTCGATTGAGGGTCAGTTGTGGTTTGTTTGTTCGTATGCTTGTATGTGCTTGCTTACGTTTGATCATGTGTGTGCCTGTTTGTTTGCTTGTATGTTTGCTTCTTTGCTTGTTGCTGCTGCTGCAGCTCAAACAAACCAACGGACGAACGCGCGAACAAACAAACAAGCAAAACATATAGATTAAACAACCGGAAGCAAACAAACAAGCCACACACATACACGAGCAAACACACGAAAAAGCATACGGACGGACGGACGGACGGACACCCAGCCAGCCAGCCGGCCAGCCAGCCGGCCAGCCAGCCGGCCAGCCAGCCGGCCAGCCAGCCGGCCAGCCAGCCGGCCAGCCAGCCAGCTACAGACAGACAAACAGTAGCAGACACAAAATTAAAGAAAAAAAGCACACACAAGCAAACAAAAGCAACACGCAAGCACACATGCACAACGACAAAAAAGGAAGGAACAAACACGCACAAACGCGCAAGAAATAAACAAAAACACACACAAACACAAACACGAACACAAACACAAACACAAACACAAACACAAACACAAGCGCAAGCACAAGCACAAGCACAAACACAAACACAAACACAAACACACACACACACACAAACACAAACACAAACAAACACAAACAAACACAAACACAAACACAAACACAAACACAAACACAAACACAAACACAAGCACAAGCACAAGCACAAGCACAAACACAAACACAAACACAAACACAAACACAAACACAAACACACATAAACAAGAACACAAACACAAACACAAACACAAACACAAACACACAAACACACAAACACAAACACAAACACAAACACAAACACAAACACAAACACAAACACAAACACAAACACAAACACACAAAAACACAAAAACACAAAACTATAAAAACACAAAAACACAAAAACACCAAAACACCAAAACACCAAAACACCAAAACATCAAAACACCAAAACACCAAAACACCAAAACACCAAAACACACAAAAACACAAACACACAAAAACACAAACACACAAACACACAAACACACAAAAACACAAAAACACAAAAACACAAACACACAAGCACACAACCACACAACCACACAACCACACAAACACACAAAAACACACAAAAACACACAAAAACACACAAACACACAAAAACACAAAAACACAAACACACAAACACACAAAGACACAACCACACAAACACACAAACACACAAACACACAAACACACAAACACACAAACACACCAACACACCAACACACAAACACACAAACACACAAACACACAAACACACCAACACACCAACACACAAACACACAAACACACAAACACACAAACACACAAACACACAAACACACAAACACACAAACACACAAACACACAAACACACAAACACACAAACACACACACAAACACACAAACACACAAACACACAAACACACAAACACACAAACACACAAACACACAAACACACAAACACACAAACACACAACACACACACACACACACAACACACCAACACACCAACACACCAACACACCAACACACCAACACACCAACACACCAACACACCAACACACAACACACACACAAACACACCAACACACCAACACACCACACACCAACACACACACACACACACACACACACACACACACAACAACACACACAAAACACAAAACACAAACAACAAAGAAAACACAAACACACAAACACCCAACCACACAACCACACAACACACAACCACACAAACACACAAACACACAAAACACAAACACACAAAAACACAAACGCACAAACGCACAAACGCACAACAACACAAAAACACAAGAACACAAGAGCACAAAAACACAAAAACACAAAAACGCAGAAACACAAAAACACAAAAACACAAAAACACAAAAACACAAAACACAAAAAACACAAAACAAACACACAAAAACACACAAAACACAAAAACACACAAAAACACAAAACACAAAGACACACAAACACACAAACACACAAACACACAAACACACAAACACACAAACACACAAACACACAAACACACCAACACACCAACACACACACAAACACACAAACACACAAAAACACAAACACACAAAAACACAAGAACGCAAAAACACAAAAATACAAAAACACAAACACACAAACACACAAACACACAAACACACAAGCACACAAGCACACAAACACACAAACACACAAACACACAAAAACACAAAAACACAAAAACTCACTCACCCACCCACCCACTCACTCACTCACCGACCCACCCACCCACCCACCCACCCACCCACCCACCCACGCACGCACGCACGCACGCACGCACGCACGCACGCACGCACGCACGCACGCACGCACGCACGCACGCACGCACGCACGCACGCACGCACACGCACACACACACCACCACACCACCACCCACACACACACCCACACCCACACACACACACACACACACACACACACACACACACACACACACACCACACACACACACACACACACACCAACACACACCCACACCACACAGGCACACAACACACTGCTCACGCAAGACACACACAGACAGCACACAACACGCAACACAAACACACACAAAACACACCAGGTAACACAATAAACACGCAACAGTTCAACACACACACACAACACGAAACACACAACACGGAACACACAACGCGCAACACACACACACACACACACGCAAGAAGGCGCTGACTACGGCGGCAACAACAGCAGCAACAACAGCCACAACAACGGCAGCAGACCTTAGCAATAGCATCGTTAGGATCACCAGGCAGTTTTCTCTGATCTGGACATTTTGTGAGGACCTGGCAGCCAGTGATGTGGAGGAAGTAGTCAGCACCATCGAGAAGATGCCGAGGCCGTTGATGACCCAATGCTTGATTTAGCCGGCATGCTGTTTGGTTTTTTTTGCCCAAGAACAAACCCAGAAGTTGTTGATTTCCCAGAAAGACAACCTCAAGGAAACCACCCACTATAAAGCCAAACCGAAGTGTGCCGTGAGTCGGAGCCAAGGATCCAGTGCACCACTGCCAACCGCGCAGCCATTGCGTTGCTCCTGTGGATGGCCGAGCAGTCTGGCTACAACCGCGGCTCTGCGGAGCTCCTGGTGAAGGATGCGCGTGTCCTTCTTTTTGGCGGAGCCTTCCTCCTTGGTTCACTTTGCAGGGAAGTCATAAGAAGAAGACAGCTTTTGGGGGTGCCTCGTTTTGAGACAAACTTGGATTGGCTACATTTGCTTGATGCGTTCCACTACCGCAAACTTGGCACCTTCCCTCTTTTTGGGGTAATACGAAAATGATTGCGCACGCATTGTTCCCTTATGGCCAGGACTCAAATTAGGTTTGAACATTCAATTCTAATGAGTTAGGCCCTTATGGTGCCTGAGCACACCCCCAAACCATCACCTTGCTAGCCTCAAGGGACAATGGTGTATATAACCACTATGCAGGCACGGAAAAGGGGGCGGGCAAAGCAGATGAGCCAGAAGGGTCGAAGATCCATCAGGGAATTTTCCAAACGCTGGACATCAAGGCAAACCACGAAACAGTCAGATTAAACAGAAATCTCCTGATACGCTTTCGCTTGAATGGCTTGAGCTACGTCGGAAAGACGGCGAAGCCTGGAACTCCGCGAGGACCTGGGCCTGGACACGGTGCGCCCGGAGGCGCAGCAGTGGCTCCAGTCCCGTCTGCCGGCGCTGGGGGAGGAGGTGAAGCCACTGGTGCCCCGCTGCCCCGAGGCGTGGCACGCGGCTTTGTTTGTCGGAGGTATGTGGCTGTGGTATGTTGCAAATGTGCTTGTCTCTTTCGGAGTTCCCTTTTCAGGTTGGTTGGAAGGGGCACAAAGCAGCAAGGCGCCATTTTGGCGGATCCCTATTTTTAAATGGCTGTGGGTCAAAACCAAAGGTACCCCTGGTGAACATCAAAGGTGGCAAATGGATGTTCATCCACCCCAAAAGGAAGCCATAGGTTATGCCCCATGGCCATGTGTGTGTGTGAGTTGCTTTTGCTGCCGCTCAGAAAATAGACACGTGTCATTCTGTGGCATACGGCTTGATTTCAGAGTCCTCCCCAAAGAAACGCCAAAAAGGCAAGGGGAGACCCGCCAACAACTCTCAGCATTCTAGTTTTTTGAATGCAACTTTCCCGAGAAGACCAATTTGGACGTAAACGAACAGTTCGGATTTTTCCGCGCATTCAACGGAAGGTTGAGAGGTGGGAGAGGTGACGTGGGGAGGTGTGCAGCCAAAGTTACATCCTTTTATGATTTCTTGTTTGGGGGATGCAAGGGCGTGGATGTCCCATTCACCACCATTGGACACTGGCCATATCCAAAAGCAACACCAGCTGGGAAAGTCAGCCCGCACCCACATTGGACATTTGGTCAAGTTTGACTTGGGATCAGTAGGGATGCCTATCAACCCCTTTAGTGGGGAAAGGAAATTGTTTGACAAGTGTAAGGTTTCTACTGGCCATGGCCCGCTTAATCCTCGGTCCCGTGAGACACGGGCCAGGAATATACATCTGCCAAACGTTTGATCTCGTTCCAGTTTGTATTCTTTTGCTTAAAGCCAACCAAACAACTCCCAGACCCCCCAAATAGAGCCTGAATGCTCACCACACAAAGGGAGGGGCCTCCAACGGGGGTGCTTTCCGATCTTGTCTTTCCGGCAAGCACGTGAGTCACACCCTCCAAGCGCACCCGCAAGTAACTATTGTGGCTCGGCCCCAACCCCACACCTCTCCGAACTGCCCGAACACCGTGCCCTTTGCTACCCCCACCTCCAAGAGAAACACCGCCCAGAGCCTCCCCTCACCGGGACCCCTCACCGCTCGAGGTCCGGCAGCTCTTCGATGAAACCAGCTCCACCTTGACCTACCTGCTGACCTGCACCGAGACCTCCGAGGCTGCTCGAACGGGGACCCAGGGAGGGAGAGAGGTGTGGGTGTGTTGTTCTCTAAGGAGGGTGCGGGGGGGGGGGGGGGAGGAGGGGGGGGCCCCTACAAAAGGTTGGTGGTTTCTCTGGAAAGACCTTGCCGACAAACAGCAAACCGCCATGGCAGCGCTTTTTTTTCTTCTTCGGGACTCTCAAACCAGCTAAATAGATGACCCAAGGCATCAACCGGGTTCTCCCTCTGCGCGCCAAAGGAACTCTCACTTTCCATGTGAGGCCATTTTGATCGACCCGGTGCTGGAGCAGAAGACCAGAGACCTCAAGCTGCTTGAGGACATCCGCCACTGGTTTCACTTTGGTTTGCTGCGAAGTGTTTGGGCATACATCGGCCCCATATGATCTCCCCTAAAAATCCCCACATACGGGGCTGAACCGTTTTCCCGGCGTCTCAACTCCAAGGTGCTCGGTGGTTGTTGGGTATCCTTTCCAAGTTTTGGGGGTCAGTTGAACATAGATGCGATGACCAGACGGAGTTCAGTTTCGTTCCTTTGCATTTAGGCTACGCAACCCAAAGCAAAAGCGCTACTAATGGGCCAGCGCGCTATTTAAGTGGCTCGCTCTTATTCAACATGTTATTTACTTCAAAGCTGTTTGGAGTTGTTTGTTGCTTTCGGGTTGTCTTGTTTCAGACGAGACAGGCCTGTCCTGAATTGAATTTGGGGCGAAGGGCAGGGGGAGGGCATTTTTGGGATGGTGTTTTGATGGAAGGGAACAAGAAGCGCGCATATATATATATATATATAAATGTCCATATACATACATGTATACATGTATACACATTCATTCCCCTTGTTGTTGGAAAGACCCTACACAACTCCACTGGGCTGGGTGCATATGTTTTGGTGATTTGTTTGTGTTCTTCTTCGAAGTGCTTTTCGTTTTGGTTTGAAAAGCAAGCTAGTCAGTCCGTGCTGTTGCACAGATGGGTTCTTAAAATGAGGGGAGCCTCATAGGTGGTTTCGCTTTAAACTCCCTTCAAATCCAGCCGAAAAAGGGCACCAAACCCCAACTACCATGTTTGTTGTGTGAACTCCCCCCTTCCACCCACCCCCAAATGAGCTGTTTGGTGCTTTGGTTCTGAACTCGTTTGGGCGGTTGGTTCACCTCGGTTGGTTGGAAAGTTTGGTGTGATTCTCTTTTCAGGTTTGGCTTAGCGGGAAGTCACAAACCCCCCTCGGTTGGCACCCTATGGGGTCCAAATCCCGATCACATCCCAGAAGTTGAGGATTTTTTTTGTTTGTCAGGAAGCAAACACAAGGCAAAAAAAGGTGAGCCCCTTTCGAGTCCATCTCCAATTTCGGGTTTGGATTTCTGTTTTGAAACAGGTTGGCTTGAACAAAAACATATTGTTGACCCCAGGGCTGGTTGCGAGAGTACCCCTGGATTAACAAAACTGTGCTTGAGAATGAGCACATGTTCTAAATGGGACCGCCAAAATTTGAGGACGACCAAGACGACAAGGCATTGGGGTACGTGTCAAAATAGGGCGCAATGGAAGTTGTCCACACACTCACACCCATTTGAGCACTGGCCCTTTCAGGAGCTAGGCCTGAAGCTGAAATATGTGGTCAACACCCACTGCCATGCAGACCACATCACCTCTGGGAGTGTCATTCGCCAGAGCATGCCTGAGGCGTGAGAAGCGGCTTTGGCGAGGGTGTCAAGATGGGGAAACCCCTCCCCCCCCCCAAAAAAAAAAATAGAAAAAGAAACAAAACAAAAACAACACGCAAACAAGCAAAACAATTCAAACAAAGACACTCACTTCAACACCCGGGAACCCTTATCCCTCCTTCCCACTTCAAGCATCAAGGCCTTTTCTTGGTATCGCTGAACATGTCTACCACCCTGTTCTGTGGAGCTCGGTCAAAGCTGTTCATTCTTGCAAGCTGCATCCCATGCACCATGTGGTTGTAAAGCATGATGGTTGAACCTGGGGGCATCACCTAGCGGCCCCCAAGAAACCGGGAGCCAAGGAACCAAAAGGACGCCAACTCGCAGAACGCAGGGCATCGACCCCCCAGGTGAAGACCATGATCTCCAAAGCATCCGGCGCCAGCGCGGACGTGCACATCGCCCATGGCGATGTGATCGAGTTGCTTGGCCCGAAGTCATTTAGGGGCGGATTTCCCAGTCGTTGACAAACATATACGTATCTATCTATCTATCTATCTATCTATCTATCTATCTATCTATCTATCTATCTATCTATCTATCTATCTATCTATCTATCTATCTATCTATCTATCTATTTGTCTATCTATTTGTCTATCTATCTACATATCTATCTTTCTATCTATAAAAGTCGTATATCTATACACGGAACAGGAATTGGCTTTATCTCGAACTACGTCCGTTTCTTTCAACCATGTTTCCCAGCACCAAGCCTTTCCCAGCACCTTGGGCGTCCCAGCTTCCGGCCCCAAAACGCGCGACGTCAGACACGGCAGGAGCTTCTCAGATGGCCACCTGTTCGCCAAGACGAAAACCCGTTGAGACGAAAACCCGTTGCTCGAAACAGATGACTAAACCCATGACCAAACCTACGACCAGGGTTCCATGGGCGCATGTGCCGAAAGAGGGACGGCCCTCCCAAAAAAAGAAACAAGCTGGTCGGTTTGAACTGACACCGGAATGGGTGAGCAAAGAAACACACCCAAATGACTATAGGTTGGGATCCAAAACAGGTTTCGTGATCGGCTCAGTTATGGGTTCAAAGAACCACAGCTCAACCCAGAACCACACACCACGACAAAACCCATCACTAGACCCACAACTCAACCCCCTTACTAAACCCCATCCCCACAACCCAATGTGTATGTCTCAAATAGGGGGACCCAAATTCCAAAATGTTGTGGTTCTCCTTTTGGTTTCCTTTAAGCCAAGGACAAAAGGGTTTTAACAAAAAGGTAGGTCCCCCAGTCGTGCCCTTTTACCTTTTTTGGGCAAAATTTCCCTACCAAATTAGACTACAGCAAAAACATCGGGTACCCTTATTCTAGCCTCTCTGGAGGACCTAGAAACGGACCCAGCCACGTCTCCAGCCTAGGTGCGGGCGCCTGCGGCTGGAGGTGCGCGCCACACCCGGGCACACCGACGGCTGCGTCAGCCTGCTGCTGCGCACGGGGACAGCGAGCTTCGTCTTCACCGGGGACACCCTGCTGATCCGGGGCTGCGGAAGGAGACCTGGGCCCGGATCTTTGCGCCTGAGGTGTCCTTCTTAGTTTGGTTAAAAATAGATGGGTTCCACTGGTTTAGATGGGGGTTGTTCCATTTGCCAGGGAAACCCATCTATTTTGCAAAAGGCGGATTTTTGTGCCTGAGGGCACCTTCCTGGGCGTGGGGTTGCCCGTCATTTTGGGTTTGCCTTTTGTTTAAACGGGAGGGTGTCAATGCGCCGGGAAGATTCTGCTGCTGTTGTAGGGAAATCCGTTGAACTCGTATTTGCAAGGCAAGAGGGGCTTGATGTGGAACCTACAAAAGGGTTGTGGGGTCTGTACCTTGTTGGAATTTTTTAATGGAACCCAAAGCGAACCCACCAGTCCAACCAAACAGACGTGAATTGGGTGGGCCGTTGCCTTTCACCACGTGTCCTGTCATGGGACCCATCAAGGCAAGTTTCATCTTGGATGGTTGCAAGATGCCTTTGTTTGTTCAACTAGCTGCAAAAGGATTGATCCAACCGAACGTTCGTTCCCCCGTGAGGGTGTGCCAACCATTCCAGCACGGCCAAATGCTTGCAGAAACGAGTTTGACAGTTTCCGAAACCGTGATTCAACCTAGACCGCCATTTCGAGCTTCCCTTGAAAAACAACCGTCACAAGAGTGGCCCATGGCAACTGGGGATCTGGGACAACGAACATTTGTAACCCCCCTCCCCTTGAAACTTCCCAAATGCGCATTGACGAGGGTCTCTCACTTCCGTTCCCAAAAGAGCTTATTGAACCGATGGTTGTGTTGTCAAATGGCCAGTCAAATGAGACAGCTTGGTTAGTCTAACGGTTAGTCAGAAGTGGACTAGCCAGCCAAATTTTGCAGTGGAACCCCCGGATAAATCAACCCGTCCCGCTAATAGGGGTGTTCCCCGGCAACAGCGAAGGATTCCTTGAGACGGGGTCAACATTAGGGCCTCGCAAACTAGTCAAACAGGGAAAACAACCCACAAAAAAGTCCTCCAGACATAGGGTTAACCTGAGCCACAATCAAAACCGATTCGGGTAGATGAAGGTTAGTGAGGGGCAGTCCCAGCCAGAAATAGTTGCGGCCGCCTTCTTAATTCTTTACATGGTTCTGGGTAGACCATTTTAATGCCGGGTTTTGAAAGGGACTCACCTTAGGGGGGAAGGACTGACTTCCAGCAGGGCGACGCTCGGCAGTTGTACAAGAACGTGCACGAGCAGATCTTCAGCCTGCCGGGCAGCACCATCGTGCCCCGACCCGGGTGCCTTTTGGGTCGTGGCAGGCGACTTGTTGGGTTCCCGGAAGCAGCTGGGAGTGGCTGCGGGGGGTTCCGGAGAGTGTGATGCTGTCAAGGGCTTCTCTTGCGGCGCCTTTGTGGGGTTGGCTGAGGGAAACCAACAGGAAACCAAATCAAAACCTGGGGTTCCATCTTGAGACAAGCCCACCTTCGGGTTCGGATCGCAATATAGTTGTCGAAAAGCCGAAAGGAACTCATTTGCTAGAACCCATTTGTTCGGTCACCCCGTTGATATCAAATCTGTTGGGCAATTTTGATAGTCTTCTTTTGGTGGGGTGATGTTCAAAGGGGACACACAAGGACCCCTGTCAACATGGGCGAGCTTCCCTTGCGGGTCTGCTTTCTTGTGCAACATATTGCCCATCGTTTTCCAATGGCGCGTTGTGTCATTTTCGAGGCTACTTTTTGGGTTTTTTTGAGAGGGCAAAAAGGACACCGCCCATTTTGAGGGTTCTTCCCCATCAGACAAACCCAGCCCTTGTGATTCTGATGAGCCACACTCAAGATCTCCATTGAAAATTACTGTTCACAAAGGTCCCTATAGGGGCAGCCCACAGAGTTCTTTCCATTGGGTATCAATACCAAGTTTCTATAGCTCAGACGCTGTGTTGATCCCTTGGTTCTTTTTCCGTCTTACGGAAAGCACGTGTTTTTGTTCCAGACAGCGGCCATTTGTCACCACTCGGTGGACATGATTCCCTACATAAATGATACCCACCAAAAGGTCCTCATCAAAAATCACGCGTGGGGGTTTGAGGGAAACCAACATTTGAGAACTGACATTTTGGGGGTTGTTTCCTCAACCTCTAAACCGCACCCAGGGCTCTGATTAGAAACCCGCGAGGCATGGCGCCGTGTCAAGTTTTCAACGAGGTGTGCCCTGGTCACGACTACAAGAACCGGTCCGTGTCCACGGTGGAGGAGGAGAGGCGCTTCAACCCCCGCCTGACCAAGCCGCTGGATGAGTTCGTCGAGGCCTGCAAAACTGGCTTTTTCTGTGACTTTTTGGACCCATTTGAGGACACAATTATTTTTGAATTGTTGAGTTGGAGTGGCTTTGGGGATTTGAACCCATAGGTTACCCCTAACTGGCGGTTTGGTTTTTGTTTGATCCCAATTTAGGCCGCTGGAAAAGGCAGTAGAGATCGGCAGCGCAGCGTCCATACTGGGGCCATATGTCTTTTTGGGGCGTACCCTTTTCACCTTGAAAGGGGCCTAAAAGGACAGCCAGCATTTTTGGGCTTCCCTATTTTGACACAACAGCAGGGGTCTAGGACACCTTTGAATTTTCCTCTAGAAATTATGTTGTTGCCTGGGGTTGCGGAGTACCTCCCAAAGCAAAACAGGGGTATAGTGAAAGTGAGCCAACCCTACTCAACCACAGAACCCTGGCAAATTACAGATAAGTTCGAGGCGAGGGGTTCCGTGTTCCCTACCTTTGTTTTAGCAACATGGTTTACCGGGCCTCGTTCAGGTTCCATGCTTCTTGGGGGGGGAAGTCTCTGAAAAGGTGAACGGGCCCCCGGCCTGGTCTTATGTTTGAAGTGCATTTGGCAAGTGTGCGAAATCCCTGGGATGGACACTACAACAGCGGGGATGCTTCAAACCTTGGTCTCGGGAGCAACGTCACGCCATCGAGAATTCCCTTGATGCGTGAGTTCACCATGGGTTCCCTTCACTGTCGCGTGTGGCCTGTTATGGCTTCTTAGTCTCAAACCTGACCCCCTTTGCTTTGAAAAGGGATGAGTTGGGGAGCTGTTTCATCGTTTTGTTGGCGGTTTTGTTCGTGTTTCACCAGTTTCATTGAGCTTTGAATCTCCGAACGCTCAGTGGTGTCCTTGGACTTCCCTTTAAACCAACCCCACAAATACACGCAGCCGACCTCAGCAACTGGCTCCACTTTTAGGATTTCCCCAGTCACCTGTTGAGACATACCTGTTCATGGCAAGTTCAATCAAAACACCGTGAGTTGTGGGTGTTGCTCTCCAAGGAGGTTCTAAATGGCACGTCCGTTTCCAAAGAACGCTTTGTGCTCTCCATGATGTGGGTGGCAGCCGAATCAAGTGCGGAAGAGGTCTTTTGGAGGTTTTGTGGAGGTGTTGTACCCAACCGGGGGCCCGTCCCATTTGTTTTCTTGGATCTCTTTTGTCTCGCAGAGGTGCACCTTCTGGATCTTGGGAAGTGGTGGAATCCACCAGATCTACGGTCTGGCAAGATGGGTTTCAGGGGGTGGTTCCCCAACTCATCCAAGGGCACCAAACCCCTTTCCAGGACATTTTACAAGTGCCCTTGATTCTATGCAGCAAAAAAGGCACAAACTGCGAAACAGATGGAAGCACAGGAGGAATGCCTGAAGCCGCGTCCAGAGGTCATGTTTGTTTTAACCACTGGGGACTTGGCTATGATTTTTAACCTCCAAAGTGGTTGGTGGACATGCATCCCAACCTCAATGCTGTCCACCAAACGCTCTCCCATGAAGATCCACGCCCATTTGCGCAGATCATGGAGAACCTGAACTTGCCCAACCCGAAGAAGATGGATGTTGCAGTGCCCGCTAACCTGATGTGCGGGGTGCAAGACGACCCCTGGCAGTCTGAAAGCCTCCCCATCTGAGAATTGGGGAAATCGGATTGGGCAGGAAAAGCTCGTTCTGTTCTTTTTTCCATCGCATAATAGAGAAGGGACCCCCAGTTGATTGTCACAAAAGAGAATCCACTCTTACTGGGCTATCCTGTAGCGGCTTACATGTCAGCCAGACGGTCAACAACTGCTGGCAATTGACTAACCCATCCGCGAATTGCTTTCCGCGGATTGTTTTCCGACGCCTTCATTCCCGAATGAGAGGCGTTGATGTGCTTTGAGCTGTGCCATATCGCCTTCCTTCCTTCGCAAAGGATAGGTGTGTGGGTGTGTCCCAAGTATTGTGGAGCCTGTCACGGTCGGCTTCTCTTTTGTTTCACATCAAAAAATACAACAAGCCATGATGAGTCACTTGGTCCCTTTAAACGTGGATGGTTTCCTGGGGCTCAACCCAAACCAAACGCACCCTGAGCACGACATACAACACGGCTGTGTGTCCTCGCTGCCCAAATGGGGCACTCTGGGCGCCTTCAGCGCTGCACGCGGGGTCTTTCCGCTTGGCGGCGGCGTTGATAAAAAAAGACGCCGAGTCCGGTCTGCGGCGGGATCTTCGGTGGCCAAGCAGCGCAAAGCCTGGCGGTTTCTCATCTCAAAACGAGCCAAATGGAGATGGGGATGTTACTTTTTTGGAGACCGATGAAAAGAGCTGTTCCGAGTTCCGAGGTGGACTCTGGGCTGCTAGCATCCAATTTGACCTGGGACATTGTTTGTTCTATTTGGAGACCCTGCAAGTAAACCCCAAGTCAAAGAGGGGTGGACATGATTGGTGTTAAACCCCCTTGTTTACCGCCCAGTTGGCTCAATCGCCCTGGTGGTTCATAGAAGCTGGACCAGACAAGAAACGAGTGTGAAAACAAATGATTCAGAGATGAGATGCGAGCGAATTCCAAGAGATAAGACGCTCGCTCACCATAAAGCCAACAATTTTATTGTAGAAGCTGGGACAGGATACTACAGGCAAAGATAGGTAAGGAAAAGAGAAGTCCCAGCATTTGAGGCTCTTCTTACCAGGTCTCTCCAAGAATAGTAAAGACACAAAGGGTTCTAGAGTAACAGATTTCCGGAGATCATATAATCATTATCTTCAAAGCATTTGTATAGAAGACTTATCAATGAAGGCTGTTCTCATCAAGATTCTTTGTCAGGATGATTATTACCACTTCTCCTCAACAAAAATGAAGATATAAATGAATGTTCAAGTGATGAAGATGTAAGATAACAAGCTTTTAAGATAGGACAGTAATAGCAGAATCATAAAGAACTAGAATTACGTATCTTATTTATAGATGTTGACTAAGAAGATAGCCATGTTAGAATTGCTTCCACTCCCCAATTATAAATCTAAGTCTTATTTGTTGAACAATATATTATAAATTCTGATTATTTCTTGTTTTATTATGATGTCTTGGTTATAAGATATGGTCTGTTATTATGAAAGGAATAGCACGCTCAGGACAAAAGATGTCTAATCATAAAAGCGTGCCATGTCATTCCTTTCCTCTTCTTCTTTGTCCGTTCATCTCAAGTTCCCATGAATTACAGTTAAGAACGGAATGGCAGTTGTTAATGTAGGAATACCAATATGAAAGGTGAATGGATTCCTTGTCTGGCTTGTTCGCTTTCATTTTCAATCTTGTTATCTTCTTCTTTAGTATGATTCATATTGTACTCCAGACAATAATTCCAGAAATAATATAAGATGAAGAATAATAGAGAACTACTAATAAGAAAGACTCTAGATTCATTACTAGTATCAGGATTTCCAAAATCTCATTCTTTAGATTTCCTTTCCTTTCCTGTAGGAAAGAAATGACATGAGAGACTGTAAGCAAGATAACGTCCTTGAATTCTAACGGCTATCCTCACTCCCCAATCTCTCAGCCTCGTCTTGCAGGTTTTACTATAGGATGAAAGCTTAGGTGAAAGATAGAAAGAAAAGGCTTAGGAATCAAGGATCTTAGAACCATAATCATATCACTTCATTTACTTTAAGATACGAAATACAATGTAAGCCTGAAAACATTTCTAGTTCTTCATCATTATTCTTTTTTGTATGCCTTTCCTAACACCAACCTATGCAAGAATCAAGATGTTGGTGATGGAAGGAAAGGAAGATAATGAAAGATACATAGCATTCTTTGATATCAGGAAACCTCTTCGTTTCTATTATAAGATTCATTATGAAGAAGAAAGAAGAAGTGATCTGCGGGTTAACTGTTCCAAGCTGTTCCTCCAATCTTCTTTCATCATATTGTTATCTTTTGGGCTTTTGGAGAGTTATGGATGTGGAAAAGAGAAGAAGAAAGATGTAAACAGTAGAATCCTTTACTTCTAGCATTTGGGCTTCGCCCCTGGGTCCGGTTTGTACCAATGACCACAAACTGGTCTCTGAGAGTGGGATTGGGACCCCCTTTCAAGTCTCCTGGAATACGAAACCAAAGCCTCAAAATGGGGGCCCGAGCCCCATTTTGAGCTGCAAACCGAGGCCAAACCACCAAACCACCAAACCAGGCCGTTGTCGCCAGGTGCCTGAGCTGCCGGAGCCAGAGGAGGCCCCCAAGCCCCGAAATCCGTCCCCTTCAAGAACGTGGCGTGGGCTTTCCGGGGTGTGTCTCTTCTTTTTGGGGGAGGGGACCGTTTTGGGGGGAGTTAAGGGAAACCCCAAAGGGAACCGGCCATTTTGTGTGCCTTTAACGCCGATTCCTCAAAACGACTCGTTTATTTATTTATTTATTTTTTGGGGGGGTTGGCCCCATTGTTAATTAGCTATGGGGATACATGTGGAATTGTCATTGAAGCTGACCCAAAAAGTCTTTGGAGGACTTTCTCATTGAGTTTCAGGTCACGAGCGATCAAGCGAGTCAAAGGACTTGTCATTGCTACGATGGACGACATCCAACATAGTGGAATGGTTTATCCCGGTTTCAATAGGGCTTCATCAATCCCAATGGCTTCGAAGTGGATATTGTTCATCCATGTATCTTTTGGTGTGGTCTCATGGAACCCTGCGGGTCACAAAAGATAAGAGGAGCCTTTAAGACCAAGTTCTGATCATGGTGAATCATGTCTTTTCGTCGCTGGCCGGGCGCTTAGTTTTTGTTTGTTTGTTTGTTTTGTTTGGGGAATGTCGGCTCTTGTACAAGTTGGGGAAGGGCCTAAATACTCAGACTGGGATGGTGGGGTGCGTTTTTGCCAGATCCAGCCATGGTCATGGGCGACTCAGCGCCTGTACTTATTTAGCCCCTGTATTGTAACTGAGACATAGAGTTCCCCCCGTTCCCCCTGCTTCAAGATTCGGGTGCCAGGCCTCCACGGAAGCCAAAGTCTGGTCGCCAGAGGACCTGGAAGTCGAGGATCTCTGAATGGGGGGAGGCTCTTCATTCGACTTGGCCGACCTTTGGGTGCTTGCCCTTGGTTTGTCTTCATTGTCCCTCTTATTCTGCAGTCTTTAGCCACACTGTTCGCCCTTTTGTTGTACATTGAGGAAGCTGAGCTGCGCTTTTTGTTTGTTTTGCATTGGCCACTTTGTTGGTTGGTTGGTGGGCCACTATCCCTGGCATCATTCTAAACGAGTTTGCCTTCGCGCATCTATGGTGTGCTGTGCATGTTGCGTTGCAGGTCTGATTTGAGGCCGTACGACTGAGTCAGCGTGCTGCTTTGGGGCTTGGCATAGCCGGAGGTTGGTCTTGGGCTTTGCCGAGGTTCGCGGCATTCGATTCCCTCAGCCAAGATCGTTTCGGATCCCAAGAAGGTTCCAACGCTTCGATCGCAACCCCCGGTGTGCGAAAAACCTTTCCTGGACACATCGGACCAGTCGACCAGGAGCCCAGCGCGGTGAAGATCGAAGCCCCGCGAGACGCGGAGCTTGCCGAGGCCGAGATCGAGATCAGTCTGCACGAGTAGCTGAGATGCCCAGACAGTCATGCGTTGCACTTGCATTTCTTAACAACTCGAGTTTCGCACATCCCAGTCTAGGTTTACTTCGGCAACTCAGCTTCACCTTTTGCGGGTTTGCACTCCAAACGGAGGGACCCGCTTGAGTTCGGTGCGCGAGTTGCGAGTTGCGAGTTGCTCCGCAGTAGACCGCACGGTGCGTGAGTCTCATGTACATAGCGGGAAAAAGAAGTGCGCGGTGCCCGTCGTGCGACCGTGAGAATATTCTCACGGTCCACATGGTGAACCGGCATTGTCTGGGTGGGCATGTGGGACAAGTTCTACCAACCCACGGCTACCAACTGATGGTCCCACGGTTTTCCTGAACGGCTAAGGACATCTCAAAGGTCCGCAGTTTGAATGCTGAGTCAAGCAAAAGCAGTGAACGAATGAGCGTGCCCAAGGGGCTTTGCGTGGTGGGTGTAGCGTGGTGTGTGTGCTCCCAAAATCAAGATGGATGTGGAAGGCACCCCGAAAATGGGTGGACCTGCGATGGGGGTTTCTTAAAATGCTGGGCCCCTTTTGGTTGGGACAGGGAAACCAAAAGGAAGCCAAACCATTTAAGGGACTATTTTGAGAAACACTACCTTGATATTTGCATGAGAAGTTCATCGCCTGTTTCGGGGCAGGCAGCAAGTTGAGTCTCCTGTGTCAAAACGGGAAGTGCGGCGCCTGCTGTCCAGGGTGGCTCGAAGCGCGCGAATGCTTCGGCAGAGCCTTCTGAGTTCCCTGTATTCTGAGAATCGATCCAATGAGTATAGAGGGATGAACCCACAAACGCTCACTGCACTCCTTTAGGAGTACTGTCCTCTTGGCCTGTCAAAATCATGAGGATAAACGGATCCACCCCAATTTGATCTTAGGGTTTGGCCGTTTTACATGGGCCTAGGCTGCAACCAGGGCCCATGGGGATGCGTCCATAAAGCGGTCGGTCTCCTTTTGGTTTCCCAAGAGGAATTCCACACAAATGCAGCCCAAAATTGTCCTGTAACAATCAACACCATGATCAGGAGCAACCAGATTCAGCAGAAAGCAGCGAGAACTTATGATGTTGCTATCAATTTTCGCGGAACCGCCGCGTTTCCGGCACAGCTCTCACGGATGCCGCCCTCGCGTCTGCCCGAGTTGCTGCCAGCCACCCTGACGGCTGCGCAAAGGACGCTCTACGTAGCTTGGTGGGTCATTCGGGCGGGCGGTTTGACTCTTTGCTTGATTCCGTGCTTGCTTTTGCGTTGTTTCCTTGCTTGCTTGTTTGTATGTTCACGCTTAGTAGCCTTTTGCTCTGAAATGCTCCGCTTCTTTGCTTGTTGTACTTTGCCACTTTCCAGCTTGCGCCACTTTCCATCTTGATCGCTGTTGTTGCCCCACGATTTGAAATGACTTCCAGAAACATATGTTTGCCCTTTCACGTTTTTTGCGCAGATTTTGTGTTTGTGGAGGGTTCCCTTTGACACGGGTGTGTTTCGGGCTGAGGATCAGATCCTGGCCGGTGCCAAAGATGCTTCCGGGAGGCGCGGCGCCTGCAATCCGCGTGTATCGGCGCTGCGTGGTTTCGCTGGGATGGAAGAGATCGCTTCACGCCAGTTGGTAGATGGTGTATCCCAGTTTGGATAGGGCTTCCATCCCAACTCTTGCCGCATGTTTGGAGAACTCTTGCCCCAAGAAGCAAATGGCCGCCTTGAGCCATGGTTGAGCCATGACGCAGTGACCATCCTTTGGGGAAACCTCGTAGTAGCATTTCCAAATGAAAACGCTGTCTTTTGTTAGGAGTTCCGCACGGGGTCCACAGGTTTCATTTGCAAGCCGTTTTTGTGCCATCATGTTGTTGATTGCCGATGTTGAGTCCTTTTTGAGGCGATGTTCTGAGGTGTCAGGTGACATGTCCAGCCACTTTTGAGGTTCCCCATTACGATTCATAGCCGTATGCCACCCGAAATCCCAGGTTTCAGAGCCCCGATATTTATACTCAGCAAACAATGATAGTGCAAAGGTGCGATGATTTTGGCGGGTCTGAAGGGAATCATCGGAGAAGGAGTCATTGCTGAACCGCTGTGAACCTCAGTATGACCAAACCAACGAACATTGGTCACAGCTCTTTTGACCAACCTTCGGCTTTTTTTGTCTTTTTGTCTTTACTAAAACACTGGGACACCCTTTCAACCGATCTTCTATTCCTGAGCAGATGCATGAACCAGCACCTACGATGTCTCTCACCCTCTCTGAACTAAGCCGTCCGCATGCCCAGTGCCCATTTCATGTCTCTGTTCCCGATGAGATTGCGGTTGCAGCTGTGGGCCAAGAAGACCGTCGCGAAACCCGAGACGGCGAGAGAAAAGCACCGTCTGCGCGTCGGAGGCCGGTGAAGACGAGGGTCAACGAGGCCACCGGCGGCCTGCTGGGGCCCTTCAACGCCTTCCTGCGCCGGAAGCTCAGAGCCAAAGGTGTCCGAAAAACAGCGGGGCTTTGCTCCCAAGGGAGTCCTTGAACACCAAAGAAGGGTACCCTCCAAAGAAGGACCTCACTATTTTTAAAAGGAGTTCCCTTTTGGTTGGTAATGATTTGGAGGGAAGCCAGAAGGAACCGAACCGCCGGGGGGGGGGGGGGGAAATTGTATCTTTAAAAAAAGGTGACCAGAAATGGTTGGGTTTTCCCTGTGGTTGCCCCCAAAAGACTACCCAAACAAAGGGTGCCGAGCCTGGAAAAGCAGCGGACACCCAAATTCTCCCTTTTGGTTTCGAGTGGCTCCACCCACTTTACAAGCAAGCAACATGAAAGCAAAAGGTATAAATGCAGTCTTTGACTCCAAACATCACCTGCAAACCAAATGTCTCCTTCGGTTTGCTGAAATGAATATTAGTTCTTTGCGCACCATCCAAACCCACCAAAGCCGGTTGGCCGGGCTTCCTTAAAGGATACATCCATCATCCCAACCACCAGTTCTTAGGGGCGGGTTTTCTAGCCCCAAGTGCATCCATGGCACTTTGGTTTTTGACCCAGGTGTATCCATTGGGACCCGTTCCCTTGAACCGCACCCCCGGATTTGGGACTAAGACCGGCGGCTCGCTCGCTTGCGCCAGGCTCCCCGGGCCTGGGCAAAGACGTGGCCGGCCTGGCGGAGCGCCTGCGCTTCGGGGCCGCGGCGCCGCAGCGGCTGCTGGAGCCGGGGGCCCAACGAGCGGTGCGATGGGAGCCGGGGAGCGGCGGCGGCGGATTTTTTTTTGAGGGACCACCACCCCCCACCCAAAACGTGCGATGAGTTGGGGAGGGGGGGATACCTAGTTAAAATCATGAGGGGGGTGGGGTGGGGGGGCACCAAGAAAATGGTGTGCTGCAAGGATGGGCCTGGCTCTTTGGAAGGAGGGACCCATTCAAGCAGATGGACTAGCCTCCAAGGATCTCCATGGCTCCGGTTGCTCGTGTGGGTTTGATTGACAACCGCGAGAACAGGGGTAGCCTCAGAAAAGACGGACCCAAAAAGGTTCGAGCTGGTTGGGGAGTTGGTTGAAACGGACCCGAAAAGGTTCGAGCTGGTTGGGGAGTTGGTTGAAACACCGGTTAGATGGTTTTGGGTTCCCTCTTGCCCTTGCCAGAAAGCTGATTAGGATGTGCGACCTTCCAAACTTGTTCCACAGTTGGGCCATTGGCCAGCGGGGTTTTGGAACAGCACACCGGTGGCTCAGTGAACCGCGATGCCATTCAGATGCTCTCCCGGGTTCGCATGGTGCTCAAAAGGTGATGTTCGTGTTGAGCCCGAATTTAAGTAGAACCTGAGGGATGAACTGGAGGCTTCCTCCAAACATGAGCCCCAATCCACCCCTCAAATGTGGCAACTCCTGCGCACTCTATCAACCTGGATTCTCAATTCCAGGCAGCTCTTTTTACAATGGGCCCCTTTGTGTGGGCTTCCATCTATAATGACAACAGAAAGTACCCAACCTCGCTTTGTTTGATCTCAAACTATGGGTTGGCACCCAAAGCCCAAAGCCTTTCGGATCTTTGAAGGACACCAGCAGCTAGCTGTACCCAACTGGGGGCTACATGGTGTCTACCGGGTTCCAAAGCTGACACTCCTATCACAAGAACAGGCAGCGGCGTCCTCTTTACAAATTCGGATTTTCTGTTTCGCGTTCATCCTTGTAGGTCATCTTGGTTCAATTCGGATTTTCAGGTTGGTTCCTTTCCTTTACCAGTGAGATCCTTTTTCCCGAAGGCGGCTACACAGACCGACAGGCGTTGAGCGCTTTGCTTTGCGAGCCATGTCCACCCCATCCGTGGCGACGGCTGTGGCCTATGGCGCCATCCTTGATGTCAAGGACAAGCACAGCCTCTATGCAGCTCGCCTCATTGACTTCCATTCGCTTGTATGGGCTCATCTTTCCTCGAGTGCACCTGTCTGTTTCCTTTGTGGTCTTAAAGGGAAACCAAACGGACACCGTGATATTCCCCGTTAGGTTTAGCGGCAATCTATCCCTGGAGACATGTTTAATTTCTTTTCAGGGGCCGTCAGCAAATGGAGGTTTGGGTGTTTCTCGAAATAGGGGTTGGCCCCCTAAGATAGCAAGGCTTTTTTGGGTTTGGCTGAAAGGGCAAAGGGAAACCACCAATTTTGAGGGCTTCCCACGTGGGCGTGTGTCAAAATAGGGGTGCCCAGAAAAGCTAGCGGTGTCTTTTCTGGTTTCCCTTTAAACCAATCCCAACAACTGTGCCCAAACCTCAGGAAAACTCGCACCCACTTTGAAGAAACGCCCCATGTCAGGTTGCGAAAAGTTGGGGCCATTCGGAGCTGGGCCATTCGAGCTCCGGTGAAATTTTGTGCCGCCTCTGAAGGGGTTCTAAAGAAGTTGTCATACGGTTGACAGCTCGGTTGTGCCTGCAACCCACTTCTCGCATTTGAACGACCTCGCCGATCCGGGCAGAACACAAGCACGGATTCCATGATGCCACCGTGTTTTGCTCCTGGGGATTTCGATCCCCGACCTCCAGAGCCCTTTTGCACCTGAAAGAACCAGCCCTTTGGCAGTTGAACATCACCTCCTCGCGCCTGCGCCCCCTCCCTTTTCTTGTTCCGGCGGCCGCCTTTCTTTTTTCTCCCCCACCCTGAGGTCAGCAATCTCAGCGTCACCGCGCCTCAGCTGCGAGGGCTCCGTGGGCGTGGCATGTGTGCCATGTTGACCCAGGTGAAATCTCGGGCACTTTGCGTAAAAAGGTCGACCCAAAGGAGCACCTCTCGATAAGATATATAAACCTGCTCTTGCTACCCAAAACACGCCCCAGTTTTGGTGTGCCTTAAGTCGTCTTCCCAGAGAGGCTAGTTGGCCCCAAAGTGGGTGATCAACACAACCTCACAGCCCGAGTTCCTGAGCAAGCGTTTGGTTTTGTTGTTTCGATCTTCAGGAAGTGAGACCCTTTGCCGAGGTGACGGAGAACACGTTGCGGGAGATCTTTCATAGCTGTGGCAAGCTGGACCAGGCACGGACCGGGCAGCCTGCCCCCGAAGGTTGCGGCACCAAATCGTGGGATTGGGGCGGGTGGGGTTGGTGGGTCCTTCTGTCCTTCTGGGGTTCTTAATGCTGTTTAGAGCTGTCAAGGTAGGAATGACTACAGGTCTTGAGATGTTCAAGTGTAGCGTCAAACAACATGTCCTTTCTGGGGACATTTGAGTATGCGTCGAAGGAATTTGGATTTGGACCCACCTCAAAATGGGGTCCTGTTTCCTTGTGCAAACCGGAGGTCATCTTCCGGACCTACCCCGGATCTTTGAAGTGGTACGCCCAGCTGAACTTCCGCACCAGCGAGGGGGTGGTAGAGGCCAGCAAGCTCGAAGGCGCGCTGCGTTCGGGGTCCAGATTCCAATAGGCGTCGGTTTACTTTTGGTTGCTTCACTGGAAACAGAAGGAGATGTCCACTGATCCAAATACAAGCGCGCTGTATCATTTTAACGACCATCGGTTGTCATTTGGCTCAAAATTTCGGATACAGAGGTGGATGGTTTTTGGAAGACGGAATGTGATACCTTTCTGGCCCCTTCCAGGGCAGATTTTGTGACGACAATTCTCAGAACCTGGGTGTTCTTGTCTCAAAACGCGGAAGCGCCTGTGATACTAGAGGTGGTGCAATCACTGGGAGAACTTGTTGGTTCTCATCGAAGATGGAAGTTCCCCGCCTTTTTGCCGCAGCCCTTTAGATCCTGGGAATCCTTTGATGTTCCCCTTCTTGTTTTGAAATATATCGGGCCATTTTGGAGGGAGGAAGTGTCTTGGTGGGCTGACGTTCAACAGCTTGGAAGAATATAGTTGCACAAATCCTTTGGATCCTTGATCCGTCTGGTCCCTTGCAAAATAGCATGGAGTGCGATAAATTTGAGGAATCTCCCCTTTCTCCCATGGCACTTCGTGGGTACGTGGGCTCGCTCGTGTATGTTTAAAGGGAGCGAATGTGAAAGGAAGCCCAGAGGAAACCGCCTCCAAATTTCTTGCCACGTCAATCTGCGGCGAGTTCCGCTCCCCGTGTGTTGCATCCCATGTGGGCAGGTCTAAATTGGGCGCCTGTGGGCATCATTCAGGAGTGGGGATCCATGTCCACCAGCCGTTTTGAAGGTCGTTCCAGAGCGCATTACAGGTCAGGCCTACTTTTCGATGGACGAAATCTTGCGCCACGCAACCATGGTTGAAACCATGGTTTCTTCATCCATCCACATCTAAGCCTCGAGAGCTACCTTAAATCCAGTCTCCGGAAAGTTGGGTTTTGGTTTCCTCCGCCTCCATCACATCCGCTCCGCACCGATCGGATCGCAGGCACCGCGATCTGCGGGTGCGCCATCAAGTGCAGCGCCGTGGACCCCACCTGCTTCGCGGCGCACCAAGTCATCGAGGAGCTGAAGGCGCATCCGTCGGAGCCGTCGGAGCCGTCGGAGCCATGGGATGGGATGGACCCGTTTTGATGGCCGCTGGGGCCGGTGAATCCAAAATCACCTCTTGGAGGAATAGGTCTTCGCTTGGTGGAATGGGGTGTGTGGTTTTGTTTTTTGGCTCGGTGCCCTTTTAAGCTTGAAGGGAAACCCACAGGAACGCCTTCATTTTGGGCATCCCCAGACAAGAGCTGAAGACCTCAAGCAGAAAGGACCCGTTCATAGCTGGCGGTTCGCTATGTTTGAAGTTTCGCTATGTTCCTTAAGCAAAAAACGAGCAAGGGTGCCAACTACCCCAAAAGACCTCCTCACAGTGACCTATGTCCTGAGTCAGAAGGGCTTTGGCGAACGGAGCACTGCAATGATTGTACTTCCAACACCAAATGATTTAGTAAAAGCAAGTTCAAAGCAAACCTAAGTCACTACACAAGCAAATATTTGTAAACCTAGACCTTTCCCAATCAAAGGTGAAAACCGGAATGAGCCAAACCAGGATGAGCCAACCAAATTCAACATGAGCCAACCACCTACAAATCCCCCCCCCCACCCCACTCCACCCCCGCTTAGGCCAAGGAGGATGCCACAGAGAAGGCGAAGGAGGAGCTGGAGGCGGCGAGGTGCCATGGGATGGGCCTTTTTCTTGGTTGTTTTGAGGCTCAAAACAAAGAAAGCCACACGCGAAATGATCTGCACAATGATCCTGTATGGCTTGAACATACCCCACCCCATTCTGAGTATGTAGGCAATGATTGTCAGCAAGGGAAACCACCAGTTGAAATCCAAAAACCAAAGCGTGGGGAGTGCAGACAAGGGTGACTGCCCAAATAAATTGTCGTTTTGATTCTGTACCTGGTTGGTAATTCAAAGGGGAACCCAACAGCTCGAATTCTCTTTTGACTCACCTTTTCAACCAACCGAAAGGGGATCCCCCTATGCTGGCAAAGGACATCACCCCCCCCCCCCCTCACAAATCGTGTCATGCAAAGCAGCCCTTGAGATTCATACCCAGGTGTTTCCGCTGTTTCCGGTTTGGTTGAACCGATTGTTTCGCTGGTCAGTGTGACTCCTTTCCAACTACGGAATTCATAAGTTTGTCCAAAGGTGGGCTGGGGTTTCCTGGTGAAGGGCCTGGATGGTGAACATCCCCGTTGCCTTTTGGGACCAGTAATAGGAGTTCATTTGAGTCGAGCAAGTAACCCCGTTGTATGTGTGTTTGTGTCTTTGTGTCAGGGAAGATCCCAATTTTGTTTTG